CGAAGGAAAAGCTACGTGGTTTTTAATTACATACGGGAAGATAGAATAAGGGGACCAGTCATTGGCCAAGTTAACAAAAAGGAAGCTTTCTTGTTGTAGTTTACATTTAGTATTTGTATTACATCGAACTCATGTACGACAAAATGTGAGTGAAATCAGTACAAATACGCCTGTCAAAACTTCCTTTGATCTTTATTAACTCCTGTTGGATATGGTTTTAGGTTAAGGGCCCACTAAAAAAAGATGTTAGTTTATTTCATCCGCCCCCGCGCATCACTTTTTCGCCGCAATGAATATTTTTATTTTTTAATTTACGATTACGGGTTTGGTATTCACACAACCGGTTTCAAGCCAATTCATGCTCGTCTTAGAGTGTTATGTCCTTCTTGGACATTAACAATTATAAAATTACCTTACTTTTCATTATTAAAGCTTACCTACTTTCTTTATACCTGGTGTCTCTTTTAAAAACGTAAAACCCTGCGGCATTTTGCGGCTACGTAATTATTTGCTGCGCCATTTCAATTTTCCAAGAAAACAACACATTTTTCCAGCGTTTCAACTCGAACGCCATTTAACACTATAAAAAAAAAAAAAATAAAAAACCCGGGACCTGCCCCTCATCACTTTCTTAGATGACAAGGGGCATGAGTAAACTTAAACATTTTAATTTTTTATTGGGGGCCTTTTAGGGTTTAGGTTAGGGTCTTAGGAGTTAAAAGACCAATAGGCAACTTGGGAGTACAAGTCAGGAGAACTGAAGAATATGGAAACGCCACATTTCACACCATAGGCCCTCTAACCGTACCTGTCTTAATACAGTCTCCATGTTGCGTCAAGTATATCAACTTTCTCATAAAAACCTATGTAAAAACTAAGGCCGAAGCTCAATCCCGCACTCAGCGCGCGAGTGTGGGGGGGCCTGTGGTCGGCCATGATAATAGTATATATTTAAAAGTTATGAATTTATATTATATATTATCATGGCGACACAGCACACTCGCAGCGGCGAGTGTGGGAGCGTGCGGCGTTAGTTTTTACATAGGTTTTTATGAAGGAAAGTTGATATACAGTGACTCAACAGTGGAACTGTAATTGAGAGGTACGATTGTATCATTGTACTAGTAGTAGTAGGACCTATTTGTGAATGTGCGTTCATATTATTTTCAGTTTTTACTGACTCTGTCCCAAGTGCCTGTGGTTAAGGAGTAGGCGTAGGCGACTCCCTAGACTCGTTAGTGGAGTAGGCGAGGTACGGTATGGCATATTACTAGATAGTACCAGGGGCAGGGTACGTTCCGGTATACCGGACCGTACCCAGGGTGTTCCGGCGCATTATACCAATAAATTGTGCCCTAAAAAATTTTATATTCTGATGTTATTTTAGGCGTTGTGCCCTAAAATAACATTAGAATATAAAAATTTTTAGGGCACAATTTATTGGTCTATCCGCCAAAAATCCGGCAAAATACCCTGGCCTGGGGAACATAGACGCTATCAGCGTAAACAACTAGGGGCCTACTGAACTAGGTGTGGTTTAGACCAATAAATTGTGCCCTAAAAAATTTTATATTCTGATGTTATTTTAGGGCACAATTAATGGTCTAGGTGTGGTCATGACTTTATGTAAATTTCACTTTAGTTTAGGCTAGCCTAAGCCTATACTACTACTAGTACTAGGAATTAGAATTGACGTTGACGAGACGAGTTACTGATAAATGCACATTTATATACCTATTCTAAACGTGCATGCATTGGGAAGTTGCAGGGGAACTAACAATAACACCAAATATTTACTCCAGCTTCCAAACAACGGTTAGCGTTTAGGACAGCGTTTAGGACTCCATCGGACATAGACTAGTACCCGTTTGACACCTTCACTCCGGCAAATATCCTTCGCTACACTGACACTCACACTGTTAGTGTAGCGTGTGGAACTGTCGACCAGGTACCAGTCTACATCGGACACCCCATATTCGGTCCGTCTAATAATTACCCAAACTCCACGACAGATGGCGCTCTCGCTTATGGGCTCAATCTACGTATTCTGAGATCATTATGTAGTTAGTGAGTTGGTGTCTTGTGAATCTGATAAAGTAACTGTATAAAATTATTTTCGTGCATGAGACAGTGTGCGGTGAAATAAACTTGGCGACAACTATTGACACTATTACGTAAGTTGTTCTCTTTTTGGACTGGGACTCGGAGGCTTAGCCCTGCCCTGGCACTTCCACTGCCACTGGCAGCAAGAAGTTGAAGAACCAGTCCGCTGCAGCTGAGCTACAGCACACAAACGGCCATTGTCTATATATAACATCTATAGACAATGTTATATATATATATATGTTATATATACTATATAGACAATGTTATATATAGACAGGCTCGGCTCATACTCATACTCATACTCATAGTCATAATGATACATACTACTATTACTATTACTAGTAATTACTATTACTATTAGTATTACTATAGCCACAAGTTCCCATCTCGCTTAACACTACGTGGCGAGAGGCCGTGTAACCGGCCGTGTAACCGAGAGGCCGTCCTCCGCCGTGTAACTAGTCGGAGAGCCTGGTCGGTTTAGTATTACTACTACTAGTATTACTATTACGACATAGGCCGATAGGGCACTGCCGCTCATACTCCCCCAGGGTACTGCCGGGACGTACCCTGGGTACGGTCCGGTATACCGGAACGTACGTACCCTGGTAACTATTTGATATGGTTTGGGTTAGGGTTAGGGAGTAGGCGTAGGCAACTCCCTATGCTCTAGTGGATAGGCCGAGGTACGGTCCGTCATATTTTATTAGATTATATACAGGGTACGTTCGGTTATACCGCGACCTGTACCCAGGCATTACGTTTCGGCCAGCTACCCTGGCGGGAATAGACCCTCTTCAGCGCACTGCCACTGGCAGCGCTCTACTATTAGATACTACTAGTACTTAGTACTAGTTAGTGGCTCATAGTGGTCTATGTCCCCAGGGTCCTGCCGGAACGTACTGGTCAGTCCGGCGTATAACGCGACGTACCCTGGTATCCTTTCTAGGCTGATAATGGGGTTTATGGGGGGGATTGATTAGCGGTTAGGGTGAGCTGTTAGAATTAGCGGTTAGGAGTAAGGCGTAGGGACTCCTAGACTCGTAGTGGAGTAGGCTAGGTCGGCTCGGATATTAATAGTAGTATTTAGTTCCAGGGTACGTTCGTATTACCAGACCGTAACGAGGGTACGTTTCGCGCGGCGAAGAATTAACATTATTTTTCGGGGCTACTTTTCAAGCTCGCGTGCATGAAAATAGCACTCTAAAAATTTGCGTTTGCATTGCTCTATGCAATTTTCGGGGGCTTTTTTGATTTGGGGCTCTTTTGGCTTTCGGGGGCTAAATCGCCCGAAGCCATGACATGTATTTTTTCACTGGTTTCGCGCAGTACCCTGAGGGGATAGCCCTTAGCAGTATTAGTGCTCATAGCGCGTCTATGCTCACCCAGGGCACTGCCGGAAACGTACCCTGGTGACTGGTCGGGTAGACGGAACGTTCCTGGTTCCTATTTGATATGGTTAGGGTTAGGATTGGGAGTTAGGTTTAGGGTTGTAGGGTAGCGTGAGCGGACTCCCTAGAGCTCGTTAGTGAGTAAGGCGGGTAACGGTAACGGCTAGAGTCCCTGTATACAGAGAGTTGCGGCATTGACGAGTCGGAAAAATCGGTCACCGTGATCGCTGCGCATTTTGCTTTCAATGATCACACCCGCTGCAGCTTAAGTTACAGCGCTGTATGGATACGCTGTACAAGGTCCGGAGTAATTAATAGACTAATCGTGTTCAATATTATCAAGTTTACGAGATTATAGCTGAATGTGTCTATGTGTAAGTCTTAAGATTTATAGATGCAAAGAAATATTGTAGAGCTAGCGATGCAAGTGGAGAGTGAACGCATTTTATCTTTGTGAGATTACAGTGGCCGTATCGCGAAGGCTAATATACGCACGGCTATTAGGCGTAAGAAAGTTGTACTATCATATGGCACGAAGATTTGAGTGGCGGGGGGGGGAAGGTACATTTCTATAATCTAGCTACACCCATAGACACATGTCTTAGCCTATAATCTCTTAATGTTTGCGTTTATTGAGCACAATTAGTCTAATTATCTACTACGGCACCATTTGTCAGCGTATCCATACAGCGCTGTACTTAAGCAGCAGCGGTGTTGATCCATTTGGAAACAACATGGCGTCAAATCCTGAGTTGGCGCAACTCTCTGTATATAGGGACCCTAGGTACGGCATATTAGATAGTACCAGGGTACGTTTCGGTATACCGGACTGTACCCAGGGTACGTTCAGGCAGTACCCCGGGTGACATAGACCCTCTCAGCAGTAATAGTACTAGATACTAAGAGTAAGACTAAGAGTAAGAGTAAGATAGGCCTATATACTGACTCAGCGACTGTTTCTCATGTGATGTGGCCCACGTACCATATGACGTATAGCCACAACTACAAGTTACATCCTTCTCGATTCTCACTACGTGAAACAGTCACGAGTAGAGTCTGGTCTAGCTTTAGTTCTATAGCCCGCGTTCATTAACTGCCGCAGGCGGCAGTTAATAAACGCGGGCTATAGTACTGTTATGTTATGTTATGTTATGTTCTCGTACTTGTCGGTGTCCACTACACTGGATATAATGACAAGGTAGTAAGTGCCTTCAGGGATAAACCCAATAAACAAACAGGTGCATAATGATGATGTGAGTGCAATGCAACTGGTGTCCTCTTAAAGTGGGTTCGCGTGCATGTGGGAGTGAAGCCTTGACTTAAAAATGTCAACGTCCGTTGCTTCCACAACACCCATGGGTAGGTTGTTCCAGATTGGAATCATCCGGGGGAAAAAAGAGAATTTGAATGCGTTGTTGTTGCAGTGCAGGTGCCGAAATTTGTGGGGGTTTTTCGATCTGGTACCTGACATCCCCGGGATCAGATATCTATTCGCCGGTATTGCTATGAGGTGGTTTACAACCTTATACATTACTACACTCGATTCTCTGTACCTGTACTAGAGCTAAGTCTGGTCGGGCTACCTCCCACGACGTACTTACTGACTACTACTACTAGAGTTCAGTCTGTCATGTCTGTCATGCCTGTCATGTCTGCATGTCTCTCATCGAAGGGCCGTGTAATTTAGTCTTTAATTGCAGCCTGGTGGTCGGGCTACACAGCACATGTCCATACTACGTTTGTGAAGTAACACGCGCGGCACTAGATACAATAATGTAACCCAAAAATAGTAGGGTTACAATGCAAACACCGTTTTTGGGTGGAATCACCAGTTATTCACAAGGGGGGGGGATTATGATGTGTTCTTGCAGACTACGTACTTCCAATGTGGTTTTATCCTGAACACGAATCTTTTCTCTCAATCCCGAGCATTATACATCACCACAATATCGGCTCTGAAGCCTAGCTATATACACACTGTTTCAAAAGATCGATGTGAAGAGCTTGCAGAACCCCTACTCTTGTTGCGTTACATCATTGTATCTAGCACGGCACATGCAGCCTCGTCAGCTATCAACTGAACCACCCAGCTGGTTTCCGTGATTCCTAGCTGAAACCCGCACCGCCCTAATAATAAATACACCTAATTGATAATTCAATACTGTCTGAAAACTCCCTACTATGATGTCATATCTTACCTGCTATTGAAAAAAGTAAAAAAAAAGTAAAGTTAAAAAATTGAAATAATAGCCGATGTAGCATATGTAGTAGAGGACTCATATTTTTATAGTCAAACCCCCATGTGCCAATCGGCACAGCATGCACGCCCTGGTTAGGTGCAAAAGTTGGAGGAGGTTATAAGAAGGTTGACAAAGGTGAGAAGGTATACCTCGACGGTAGGAGCAGGTAGAGGAGGTAGTATAATAAGGGGAGAAACTTGATGAGATAGAAGAAGTAATAGAAGAGAAGTGGTGGAGCAAGATTGGCGAGAGAACATTGAGTAGAGGGGGAAGGTGAAGGAGAGGGAGGTGGAGGAGATAGAGCAAGTGCAGAAGATAGGAGAGATACGACAGTGTAGGTTAGAGGGGCCACAGGTAGAGAAGGGGTGAGAGGTAGAGGATTGGAGAAGCTAGCAGGGAAAAACTAGAGAAGGTGAGAAAGTAGAGGAGAAGTGCAGGTAAAGTAGAGAAAGAGTATAGAGAAACGTGTACGAAAACACCAAGCCAAGTATGTTAGCCATGTGGGTAATAGCTAGTGGAATATATATGTTGTTCGTTGTTTACATAGAAAGAGGGAGCTAGTGTGCCTTGCAGTACTCTTACTTACAATATTGCTTGTGGGTGAGCACATTTTTGGTGTAGATGAGTTCATGAATTCGTATGTAAGGTTATTAAGGGGTTTATGAACTTTGACCTTTTCGAACATGCTCAGAAGCACTTGACAGAATCAGACGAGCAGGTCGTAAAATTGATGTAACTGCTGAAAAGTGTTCATTGTCACAATTTCAGCAGCTAGTTTGAAAGTGAAAAATAGTGGAACAGATTGCGAGCTGACGTCTACGTATCGACGCATCCCCTGCGATGACTGCCGAGTCGTTTGAGTATCATGAGAAGAATCGGCCACTGTTCACCGACCTAACGGCTGAGGACGATGACAGCGGTATAACAGAGATCGAGAGCCTTTGCATCAACTGTGAGAAAAGTGTAAGAAAACTATTGGCTGCTACATATTAGATTCCATTTGTGTGCCATGGCAAACTGCAAATTAATGCCTTTTTTTAGAGAATTCTCTGTAGCTGGTTTGTGTAAAGCATCAGAAGTTGAGGTAGTGAGACTTGAGTCGGTCATACTTTAGGACGTCATTACATCGGGATCATTATGTCAAGATTTGGGTTAGGTATATAATCAGGAGTAGGGTTGGGGTTATAGTGGTGATTTATGATAATGATAGGATCAATAAGGATAGGCCTAAAGTAGGGTTGAGCCAAATCACTTGACCTCATAAGCCCGCATGTAATTGGTTTTTTTCGTTGACAGGGTGTCACGCGATTGCTGCTGACGAAGATACCTTTCTATAAGGATGTGATCATCAGCTCGTTTAATTGTGATCACTGTGGCAATAGCAACAGCGATATACAACCTGGAGGAATGGTGCAAGAACATGGAATTAAAATCACCGTCGCCATCAACTCAGAAGCAGTAAGTGCTTTTAGTTATAAGCATAGATGTACTAGGTACTATCATGGTAGCGCGAACATAAATTAGCTGTGTCATGTAAGTGTTAAATACCAATGTGTATTGAGTACAAATTGAACCGGGTGTCAATGAAATCACGTGTGTTTTTTGTTCACTCATGATTGAATGCATGTTCATTGTTTAATATGGAGAGATTTGTGATGAAGTGCGTAAAATATGGAGTTTTTCTGATCAGTATTTCTATCGTGTACAAGTGAGTTTAGTAATTATATAAAGATTTAATTGTTTATGTGATGTATTTACCTAGTTCTTTTAGTATGAAATTATTTTATCAGCTACATTGCATTTTTCTGGTTTCATGCAAACGTGGCATTTTCTAATGCAGACAGTCGGTTACAGTTACATCAAACACCAAAAGTACCAAACATATAACCCCGTATGGTAATGTAGGTAGATTTTTATTTCCACTTTTCATTCCAGTAATTTGGAGATTGCATGCTTCGAGTAACATAATGTAGAATTACATTCAGGTTTTATACTCAACTTATTTAACTTCAATAAACGATTGCTGTTTGTCGAATAAGCAACAATGGCAATTCACTGCGAGTGCTTAGAATTCTGCAGAATTTTTATAATGTTTTCTCAGACCGAAAAGTCGTACTTGATGAGAAATGAATAACGGCGAGCATGTTAACGCAACATTTTTATCATAAACGGTAATACCGTCGCAGCGGTTGAGCCGTTTCTTCTATCGAAGACGGTCGCGTTGGACGTGCATACACCTACCACAACGTTAGCGCGTCCGCTGGCGCGGCGCGGCGCCATCACCCCACGACGCGAAGCACGGTGGCGCCCTCGCGGCGGTGTCCCTACTTCTATGCCGCCTTCTCCTCCTCGATCTCCTTGATGACCTTGAGCTGCTTGAGCGCGTCTTGGTTCGTCGGGTCGATCTTCAGCACTTTTTTGTGCGTGAGGGTCGCCTCGTCGTACTGCTCCGTCAGCACGAGCGCGAGACCGAGACTCTGCAACGCCTCGTAGTCGTCGGGCGCCTCGGCGAGCGCGACTCGCAGGAGAACGATCGCCTCGTCGTAGCGTCCGAGGTAGATCAACGCGTCGGCGCGCCGCTCGTACATGACGTGCATCAGCGCGGGCGGGACGTCCGGCTCCTCCATCGCGTGCTCGTAGACGTCCGCCGCCTCGGCGAGCATGTCGCGGTCGCGGTCTAGCGTCGACGCGAGCTCGAGCGAGCGCGCGTGCCCGAAGGTGGCGCGCGGGCTGAGCTTGTGCGCGGTGCGCAGCGTGTCGTACTGGTAGACGAGGATGCGTGCGAGCGCCTTTGCTCCCTGCTCGCCGTAGTCGGTGCGCACGCGTCGCAGCTCGTCGACGTTCTCCCGAAGACGGTCGAGACGGTCGAGCTCGTTCCGCAGCGGGTAGTCGTACGCGTTCGTGATGTTCGCGTACACGTACTCTCCCTCATCGTCCTTCGGCGGGGCTTTCAGTTTGCCGTCGGCTTCGTTAACCTCGCGCCAGATGTCGTGGTCGGAGCGCTGCTGCGGGCACTGTGCGATGGTGGCGGCGGTGCAGAGCAGCAGCAGGAAGGCGGTGGAGGCCAGCATGTTGCTCGGTCGAAGCGCGGCGAGAAAGACGCGGAGAGAGAGAGAGGGAGGGAGAGATGGAGAGAGAATGCACGTCGCAGCGTCGCCAGGGAGAGTGGGTGGAACGAGCGTGCTGGTCGCGCTATGAGGCAGGAGAGCAGGTTTTGCGGCTCGGTCGTTTGTCAGCGACGTGGCAGGACAGCTCGGAGCTAGGTCTAATCACACGTCACCAATTTATAGAACCCGATACAGGTTTCCCTCGGGACACAGCAGTTTTCGTCGCTGCTGAGTGTATCCAGGCAAATACGTGGCCTGTCCTGTTTCGCAGTCTAGGAATGATCGGCATGTCGCACACCCAGAAGTTTGTCTCTCACTAAGTGTAGTACATGCATTCTGTGATGGGCCCGCCAAAAATGAGTGCGTCTGTTCACGATATCCACCATTTGTCATACCATGTCTGGTAGGGTCATTCGCCTGCACTGTCTGCGTTGTACAGATCTGCTCTACTCTGTCATGAATAACATTTTGGTTTTTGTGTCCTATTATTTTCTCTCTTGGCATTTGTCTGATTTTGGTGACAAAATTGGAGTGGTTTGTGGTATTGTTAAAGACCTCAGATACGTCGCGTTGATTTGGTTTATGAATGATTGCTTGCACAGTTTGTGGTTTGATTCATTGATCCATAATCTGAACCGATCTAGTGGTTGTTGCTCTCTCAGTTTGCTGCGTCTTTGTTTCTCTATCATCTGTCAAAGGCAGTGTCAGCTGCCGCGAACATTATTGCAAATGAAGGAACGATTTGTCTCACAACAGGTTCCCGAAACCTGTTGAGACAATTGCTAATGTTTAAGGCCAAAGGCCCAAACAACTTCTATCTGATTCTTCTGAAATGTGAACAAGTTTGAACGCAGCATATGTGCCCAGGGGCAGAATATTGATGCGTGTGAATAATAGTAATAATACCTAATATCAAGAGCTATCATGTAGCTTGATATACAGAGCATGGCCGCAGTGAAATTGCTCCCGACATCAGTGATTGGACAACCGTTCACCCTCTCATCCCTCATTATTCAGTTACTTAACTGTCCTGTTCCCCTACCTCTGCTCACTTTTTCTCCTGCCTTCCCCTTGCTCTCCACAATCTCCACATATAATTGTACCATGCAGACAACAAAAATGAATAAAATTAAAAATGACCAAATAAGTAATTCAAAGAGTAAATAACTATTTATAGTTAAATATTATAATATATCATTATATTATTAATAGGTCACTGTTTTTCACAGGATTTAAATCGCCAGGTGGTCAAGATGGACACTGCCACGGTCAAGATACCAGAGATTGACCTTGAAGTGCCTGCACACACCCAGAGTGGCACGCTGACAACTATTGAAGGAATTCTGGAACGCGCCATCACAGGACTGGAGCAGGAGCAGCCGATCAGATATGTGTGTGAGATAGCCACGATTCCCAGATCTATTGTAAAAATTGATGACTTGTTGATTGATTGATTGATTGATTGATAAAATGGGTTGTGGTGGCAAGTGAGTGTAGCTGTAGTCCCTGAGGAAATGGCTTCTATACGTTAGATTATGTAGAAAAATTAGGTACAAGCCTAAGAGATGTGAATAACACTGGCAGAAATGGACCTTGACGACGCACACTATGCACGTTGACAGGGATCTGTGCACCTCCATCATAACCACTTAGCTGGCTAACAAAATTGTGGCCGCTGCTCAGTGCTCTGGCCACTGTCTATACGGCCCTGCAGATCAACCTATGTGTAAATGTTATTTATGATCATAGATATATACAAACACATGTGTGACACTTGACTGTTGTGACATGTGTTTGTATATATATCTATGGTATGATATACCTGTATGTACAGATATGTGTTAAGTGTTAGCGGGAATGTCATATATGTGTGTATGTAAAGATTTTCAAGTGATTTCGCATTGTTTTAAAATAGAATTGTTTTGTAGGCGATGGATGAAGATCTAGCCAGGAAAATTGAAAAAACGATTGAGAAGTTGAAAAGCTACCGAAAAGGAAATGAGACCTTTACTTTGGTAAGTATTTCTCATCGTAGGCCCATTAAAGAGTATAGTTGTGTTTTACAAATAAAAAAAACACTATTTATTAAAAAAATCATGCAGGCATTTACCAATTAAAATGTGACACTTGAAAGGTTGAGGAATAATTTTTGATTACTGATGTGTAAACATTGTAAACCTATTGCACCTATTACAGCATCTTATCAGATTCATTCCCAATTCGTCATTTCCTTCCAGATACTAGATGACCCAAGTGGAAACAGTTTTGTTCAAAATTTATATCCTTTTTGATAACTTTAATAAAAATGTTATGTTGGTCACAGTCAATGGTGTACTACCAATACACGAAGTGCGTGGAAAACCCATATATATGTATACATATATATATGTATATATATATATATATATATATATATGTATACATGACCAATGTGATCAAAATAGTAAAGATCAAGAAAGTAAATTATGACGCTTCGAATCCATCGGCTGAAACTTGCTCAGAGCAATTGAACGTCATTTGCAGCAGTTCTCTGCCATTTATTTATAACGAATGCACCTGTCATGAAGTAGGAGTCGAGGTATAAACGTCTCGTGTGAATGTGACGACGAATGACTTGCTGGTGTACATTCCTTGACTGTGCGATGCCACACGCTGGCCCCGGCTAACGACCCGCGGACGAGCGTCGTGCAGTACGCACGCTCCCTCGAGCAGAACAAGCTCCTCGCTCTCGTCGTGAGTGTTGTCTCGGGTTGTATACGACGCGCCGGCAGCGAGGCGGGGCTGCTTCTTCCCGGTCGTCGCTCCCGGCCTCCATCTTGTTGACGATGTCGGCGACGTCTGACACCTGACGTTGGGGGCGTTGCTTCCAAGCGTGGCCTTCAGATTTAATAGCTGCTTTACTAATTGATCAATGCATTAATTTCTTAATTGGTCCCGTACGTAAGCCTGCGGTGGTATTAGTTCGCTCACCGTGTAACTCATACGCGCTTTTGTGGTAAACAAATATGATTATTATATAGAAGGTGGATTAACATAGTAATGAGACTCATTAAGATTTCAGTTCGTAATTAAATTGATCTATTTCTGTCATTACAATGGGGGCAGATAAGAGCTGCATAGTTTTACAGCTGTGATCATCAACATCTGTGGCCACAACCTTGAGCTCGGTAAAAATAATCAGGTAAACGTTTGTGTGATTTTACGCTCGGCCACTGCAAACTAAACGTGCTTGCCGATAAGAGAAATTTCTTGTGCTCCCTACGCAGGCGGATGATGAGCATGAGGAGGATGGGGAAGAGGGGGAGGCCCCACCATTAGAACCGGACAATCTTAAGGACGAGGTGAGCATGCCTGCTGTGTTCATGGTGCATATATAGTTTATGGTCAGTTGGCCTTTAAGCTCCCACGTTACTGATTATATCCCGTGTGTCATTACTGTGCAAGGCAAACTGGTTTAAGGGGGAAGCATGCACCTGGGGGCATCTACTTGCTTCACATACCCCATATATATATGTTTAGACATTGACAGAAAAATGTGTACCCAGGGGCATTGGTTCAATTTCTAATAGCAAAGGGCCTGGTTTGTCTACTTGAGAAATTTTGATTGTCTAGCTGCTACCCTGGTATTTTTTCCTACAGTGGCCAGCAATATGGGACATTGGTCCACAAAATTTCTTTGGCAGCTGTAACAAAAAATGGTTTAGATCATGTGGTAGCTACTAGGTTTGAACACGACTTCCTTTCTCTTAGTTAGTTTCCCTCATCAGTGAGCTGACCTATCACCCTCCACGCATCACCCAGCTACACACTCGCAGACTGTCATCCCACATATATTTCCCATTGTCAAGTAGATTTGAGTTAATTGATTCTGTAGTTTTGTGTGAGTGACATGGTGGTGACTCTTGACAGATGCGTTTAGTTGATTGTCTGTGTGTGTCCACAGGTATTAAGTTTCAAGACAAACTGCCCAAACTGCAGTGCTCCCGCTGACACCAATATGAAAGTTGTTGGTATCCTTTTGACATTTCAACATTATTGCTAGTGTTTATATAATAACTTAACTTGATCTTGGAAGTCAATGAATTGAGTAGAAAACCCACGTACCCTTCTTCAACAAACTTCATTTATAAGTTCATTAAGATCATCACCCCCTAGGTAAAACCTCGAGTAAATCCATGTAAAACCCGTTATGATAAATAATTATTATGCGAAAATGAATAATACTATTAAACTGTGTACACACAGGTTTGTCATGATACCGTGAACGTATCTATACTGCACGAATAATATAGATGTGTTCGTGATAAGGCTAATGTACAACGTGATAGACAGGGCCTAGCTCTAACGTCTTTTTGAGTACACCGCATGCTCCTTCATGAATCATCTCAGACATACCCTATTTCAAAGACGTGATCATCATGGCGACGACATGTGATGCGTGCGGCCATCGCACGAACGAGGTGAAGGCGGGTACCGGCATGTCGCCCAAGGGCACGCGGATCACACTGCACCTCACCGATCCATCTGACCTTAGCAGGGATGTGCTGAAGGTGAGCTCACACGTTACATGCTGAGAGCTGACATGATGAGATTGTTGGAGATTATTGATGGACATATTTTCAGTCTAAGCTGATGATGTTAATCGGAACATTTTCGTAGTTTTAGAGTTAATCATATTGTATTCGATTGATGAACATTAAAGGTCACGCAAAAGCTCGATTATATTCATTTTTGGTCATTGTTTCATTAGGGTGTAGGCATCTATCTAATGTTTCAGCGATTATCTGTTTCTGCAGTAGCAATAAAAATATATCTCTGACTCTCAGTTAAACGTGTTTTGTATGGTTGTTGCAGTCCGAAACCTGTTCCCTGGAGATTCCAGAGCTGGAGTTAATTGCAGAGATGGGTACACTAGGAGGACGTTTCACAACATTGGAAGGCCTACTGACTAACGTGAAGGAACAGGTGAATTATTTTCTAGGTTTTAGTAATTTAGTGTAAGGTGGATTAATTTAAAAGGACATGGGTGTTTACTTTGTTCTGAAAAATAAAAGGCAATGCGCTCATGGAAAACGGGTATAGGGGAAATTTGAATCTATTGTGTTACCACCTGAATTTTAGCAATAATGAAAATTAAATCAATAGAGGGTTCTTCGACTTGGTCTAAAAATAGCAATATTACCTACAATCCCGTGCCACCGGCCATACCGGTTACAAAAAGAGCGAACACGTGTCGCGTGTAATGTGCCCCTATGCACAATCAACCGATTTTACATTGGCTATAGTGTTATTATTGCAATAGATATTAGAAGTAAGAGGATCCCGATTTACCAGACAGGTTTATCCGCGTGGGTTTTAAGTGCTGCAGTTCAATGAGGCTGCCACACAGTCGGCAGATTCGTAGATTGAGCAGATCGGAAGATTGCACGCAACACATATTATGTTCATAGACTTGAGTTTGTTTACATCGTGAGAGTTCAGAAATTTCACCGATTTTACTGCATCTACTCCAGCTATCAAACGCAGCTTTTTATAATAGCTAGTGTATGCACGTTTGCTGACTGTCTGTAGTGTACGTAGTATGGATAAGTACTTTGATTCACTATAGACAACGTAGCCAAAGCATGCTATCTCGAGAAAATTGCGTGCATTGGGAATCGACACCCGTACGAGAATGGAGCGAGGACCACAACTTTGTGCCCATCACGTACTTATTTGGATCTCGTGAATTGACTACCTAACATTCTAGCCGAGATCATTTTATACTCTCAAGGACTTTCAGAACCACAAAAGTCTGGATGCCCACGATAGACTATTCTGCGGTTGGGTGTATAATGCTAGGTTTACATTATGTTCCCGGCGGCCACGGCAATCACGTTTCAGGCCACCGTGAACAAAACGGGATGGACGTGAGACAACGCGGGGGGACGGAATGGGCAAACGTGACAGGGCGTGATTGCCGTGGATGCCGGGCCAGATTTTTAAACTGTCAGAAAATTTGCCACGGCAGTCACGGTGCGGATGAGAAACCTAGTAGGCCGTAGTAAAACGGAGTGAACGCAACAAAACGTGACAGTACGTGATAGGCCGTAACAAAACTTGGAGGCGGTCCGTAGTGGGGCGGGCTACCCACCGGCTACGGGCTCGGCGCGCTGCGGCGCGTTGCGTTCTACTACGGTCTGACATGGCGCGCGCAGTCTGGGAGGGAGTATATAAAAGCAGGGCCAGGCAGGGGAGCTTCATTCGAATTCAATCGACGACACATTACTGCATCTACAATACGAAGAGAGAAGACCAAGCTTTGAAGAAAGAAGGCCAGGCTATGCCACCGAAGAAGCCAAGACGTACGAAGGCCCCCCGTCCTGACTCCTGCACCACCACCACCAGTAGAGGAGCAGGAGCAGCCTGAAGATCCTCGCCGATCACCGCCGCCAGATGAAGAGGAGCGTGCTGCTGCTGCTGCTGACCCGGTCCCTGAACTGAAATCTCAGGATACAATGATTGCTATTGCTTGGGAGGCCTTCTTTTTATACCGTGGGCACAAACGTGCTCCAAAGCTGCCCGGCGTCCACGTTTCATCCGTAGAAAGCCTTGACAGAACGTGAAAAACGTGTCAGACCTTGATCAGAACGTGAGAAACGTGAGGGACCCCACCAGAACGTGACGGGCCGGGAGGGAACGTACTGGCATGCGTGGTAGACCGCGGGCCGAACCGTAGTGCGCCTTGGAGCCTCCGGGACTCAGCCCTTTAATCCCCCCCCACCCCCACGGCCCGTCACGGATACCGTGATAGACCGTGAGAAAACTTGGCAAGACCTAACTCAACTTATAACAAAACTTGAATACAGAGAAAAAATTGCCAAAATCCCACGGCGCACTACGTTTCGGGCAAACGGGGCTGCCGTGGCCGCCGGGAACACAGTGTAAACGCAGCATAAGTCTACACCTATCATGTGAACTGTGAGAGTCCCATCTACGTTATCCGAGCACGTGTTATGCACTAACAGTCTCTGATTATACCATCTCTCTATCTGTGCATGGGTCACGATGAGATAAATGGGACAGGCATCATGTCAGCACACTGTAATTGTAAAGCCGGGCTTGGTGAATTCTGTTCACATGTTGCCTCAGTGCTATTTTATGTAGAGTATGCTACACGTGCAAGAGAAATCACCACCCCACTCAAACAGCTGCCTACTGGATGCCGGTGATATATGTATATAAGCGTAAATGTGTAGCCGTGCGCCGTGTGTGCGGTGTACCTGTGTGTTGCAGAGGAGCATTGACCGGCATTTACAGGTAATTATCGGCAATACTAGACGAAAGAGAGTAGAGAAACATTAAGACATTGGTAGTAAATACATTTCGTGTTTATTCAGCATTGCTTTTTTATTGAAAATGCTCCAAGCGTCTGTGGTCCGCCTGGTCTCTCGTCACTTTACTTTGTGTTGTGATTACGCTAGGCAGCCTAAAAAAGCTGTGTGGCTCTCTCTGATACCGATTGCTGCAGTTGACAACACTGCAGGAGAGCGGCGTTGTGATGCATTTGCTTAATAGGCGAATATAAAATGAGCGGCGGTGCGTTGCTCAATGTACTTGTACCATGCCTGAACTGGTTTCTGTATCCGTCATGGCCGGCGGCGTTGCATTGTGGGTAATTTGAAAAATCGCGGAACCCTCTATACAAAACACATGGTTTATGGAGATTCTTATGCCTATTTTGGTGTAAATCTTTAACACAATGGAAAGTGGTGGGAATGAAAATTAGGAGCTAGATTCGGTCATCGCGTCAGAAAATACCACCTTTGACGTCATGTTTAGTTGGAGTCAAACAACCCATTCACGATGGGGGACAGCGCGACGCCGGACTACACAAGCAAGATGGCGCGGTTCGTCCGCGACCTTGACACTGTCATCCGCGGAGAGAGGTTGAATGTCCACATTGTTCTGGACGACCCCGTTGGCAACAGCTACTTGCAGGTGCGTGCAGAGCCGTAGCGACCGACTGAAGCCGCTTCCGTTAAGCACCATTATGCGTTATTTTTTATGCGTTTATTATTAGTTGGAATCTATTCCAGTAATTGCAATGAACATAATTTGTTCATTTTCCAAAACAAAAAAAGTAACTAACATCTAAAATTGTCAATTGAAATAGTACACTATGAAGAGCTCAACTGGATATATTAATCTTGTAGTTCAGAGACTACATTAACATAACAACTTTAATCAGTTAAGCTCACAGTACGTACGTCTCTTGTATGCTATTATTTGTGCAAAATAGGAAGTATAAAGCGTTTTCTTTTTCACCATTCCTCCATACGCAGCATAGTGCTCTTCTTTTACACATGGAAATATTATATAAGCATATAATACGCATATGCTTGCGTTGGGATTAGCTTCCAAATACCTGCTCATATTTTAATTTCTAGCTAGTGTCATTTGTGCCTTTCAGAATGTTTATGCACCTGATCCCGACCCAGAGATGGAGTCTGTGACCTACGAAAGAAGCTTTCAGCAGAACGAAGATCTAGGGTTGAACGATATGAACACAGAATCATATGCAGAAGCACCGTCGTCATAGCGACAGAGATTATCTGCAGCCATATGTGGTCTGCATTCGTCAGCTCTTGCTGTGCTGCACCCAACCTACAGTGTTGCATTGTATGTAGATGTGGACAATGAATCGATGGTAACTGAGCACAATATAGTCATCTGTAGTAATTGAAGGGAATGTAAATTTAAGATGGTAAATTCTGTCAAACAATCCACATTTTTTATTATTAAACTACATAACGGAGACAAAACATTGTCTACTGTATTCGTTTAAAACAAGCTCAGCGATCAAGCTGGCAACGTGATACTTAAACATATCACTTTACAATACTTTGCCGACTCTACTAACTTTCAGAAGATAGTCACTCTGGTTGGTTCCAGCACCCATGTGTTGGTAACAACACCGTAGGAATAATTATTTCTATTGCATCCAAAATGCTGCCATAATCACATAACTGGCAGCAGTATGCTAGCTAGATGGCAGCTCAAAAATCCCTGTTTAGATCATGGAGTGTCTAGCAAAGCATTTAGTGATGCCCACTAATAATACTGACTGGTATCTTCCGACACTTGCTTCTTTCATAATTCACAAGGTGTTCCTTTCATCAATCACGGTATCAGTTACACGTATATATATTTATAGTTAGCGTAGTACAAAACGTGACTACTATGTTTCACAACGAGCTAACGCCTTCCCGTAAAGTTCACACAGTGGTAGAGCTAGGATTTGAACCTAGCCCCTTGAACTGACGATTATAAATAGCATCTACTCTGGGATAAATCTGTTATTGCTTAAGAATAACAGCCAGGTTGTATTAAAAAGACACAGTACACACCTTGCCATTCTGGTACTACAATGAGTAATGCTTACAATATATAAAGTAAATTGTTACTATTGTGTGTATCACTCAAGTCAGTATACATTAATAAGGATTAAGGAATCTTATTTACAAAATAATTATCACAACATTTTTTTTTATACACATTTTGCAGGGTATCACAATATCTAATAGTAATAGCAACCTTTTTATGCACATTTTACTCTCCTGTCACCTTAGGAAGATACATGTTGCAACTGACATGCATCATTTGCACACAAATTCTTTCTACTCTATACTTGCACTGATACCGAGTAACTCTTGTGTTATCCCATGTTCCATTAAATCTACACATTAAAACATCGTTCAAAATTCCTAAACTGGTTAAAAAAAACTACTAAACTACATGCATGCATTATAACAATCAGGAAGAGGTTTCAATAAGTACTCTTCAAACGTCGGCATAATAACAACTAGACAGAGGGCACTCACGGAGAGTGCATACCTCCGCGAGCGTGTAACATGTATACATGTGTATAACAGCTGGCTCGCTGCTGGCTGCTGCTAAATAATTATACTACGGTACACTACACGTAACACAGGGGCATAAATAATAAATTAGGTACCAAACATCTGGTGGCGTTCCTCCATAATAATATACTGCTCTTGATATCTTTCATGCAAATAAAAGTGCTTGGAAATTAATTTGTAAGAAGCATAATTGGTTTAAAAGCGGCTACGTTCAGCTAGTACATAAAATAAACAAGTAATAGTTTCTCCACAAGGTTTCGCCTATCGACGTGGATATTCGTCCGAGCATCGGACACTTGTTCGGTGGCGCTATTCGTCCGAGCAGTTGTTGCGCATGCGCTGTTCATATTGCTGCGCGTGCGCTTGTTGTTGCGCATGGTCAATTATCGCCATGTAGTTTGCAGCGTAGAAGACACTCGTTTTTACGGTTCTGTTAGTTTTACAATAATAGATAGCATCTATGGCCTATAGCCTATAGCCAACTGCATGGTATTATCATCCATTATCCAGGTTGAATTTCTAACCTAAGACTATAGGTAAGTAAGTAATTTTCCTAATTAGTTGGTATATAGGCCTACTAATAAAGTACTATCGTAATCTTGATACTATAGACTATAGTATAGTAGTAGCTAAGTAGGCAACTACAACTTACAAGACTTTGAACTAGTACTAGTAGTAGTAGTAGTAAGTGTCAACTGAATGGCTAATGAGCAACTAGTCTTTCCGATGACGTGCGGCTGCTTGAGATGGTCTGATTACCTGATTGTGCTTTGTATTGTATATTGGGTATTTGTATACAAAACGAGCTACTACTTCACTCCTTCAGTTTTGTTTTTTTAACAGTTAATACCTGCCAGCCTGGATTGCGTGTTGTTAGCTTTGCAGCTAGCACATTTTACAGAAACTTGTCCTGATATTCCAGTCTATAACTGGTTTCTGATGTATTTCTGTTCAACTGACAACATCTACATGCACTGCTTCTTCATATAGCCTCTGTCTTCAGGTGCGCAAGGATGGCTACTGTTCATGCACTAGATGATAATGCAGATAGAGATGTAAATCGGGTGCGATTCAGCGATTTAAAAGTTGGTTATGTGTTTGATTCTTTTTCGCAGCTGAGTGACAAGATCATTCAGGTAGAGAATGACTCGTGCGTGCAACTATATAATAGGCGAGAGGCCAAAACCCTGTCCGCATCGATAGCACGCTATCCAGGAAGAGCAGGAAGGGCCAGACCAGAGTTGAAATACTACCTTGTCAACTACTGTTGTGTGTTTGGTGGTAAAAAACACATTAGAAAGAGCACCGGCAGCAGAGTCAATGCGAGGTAACAACGAGTTCCTGTCTTCAAGTTATTTGATGCACTGAACACAATATATATATAAATCAAATATCATGTGTAAATGAATAGATACATGTATGTATGATCTAAAACGTATATATATATATATGCTATTTTCCTTGTGTTGGGTGCTTCTTAATTCCTACATGATGTTTGGTAGGTACCATATTTTAATAATTACTACTTGTGTCTATAAACATGTATTACAACTATACAACTACGCATGTTTCTTATCTTCAGAACCTTCAGACAACACTGCCCTGCTGGTATTAAGGTTGGGTTGTCAGAAG